TTGGTGTGAATGTGTATTGCAGAGGCTAAATATCATCATTGGAGGCTAAATATCATCAGAAAATCTTCACCAAATGTGGGAACATTAACTGCTATAGTGACGAATTAGAGAAAATGTAACTGGGACTTTGACTAGATTTTAATGGAGTGAAGCCATGTTAAATAAGATTAAATGTAATATCTGTTTGTTTGTGCTTTTTATTTTCTGTCCTTTCATTTGGTTTGTTCTTTCTACTTTTGTTGTGTACCCAGCTGATAATATACTACAGGTGCTTCAGGCGAAAACTCTGTGGTCCTGTTGTCTTATTATAACCTCCACTCCCCTTTTCTTCGGAAATATATTGTGCTCCATATGTGGGCTAATGAACAAGTGGTTGTACCAGTGTAAGTATGGTACTGCCGGCAGCCGACAGATGGTCAAATCATCTGTTTGGAATTTTTTTGTTTTCCCCCTCTTGCAGATTTCATCTTTATCTCAAGTGGAGGTACAAACCCTGGTGCAATTCAGAATTTGCTGAAACACAGGTCCTTGTTTATACAGGGTTTTTTTATTATTATTATTTATTTGGCAGCAGGAGAGGCTCTGAGATTTTTTCCCACATGAACAAGAAGAGAAAAGAAGAACATTAATATATATATTTTATATTGCTTACAGTCATCTGTAAACCACATATGTTAAGGGGTTGTTCAACAGCTGTGGTGGGAGGCACTGAAGACCCCTGACAGACCAACTCCAGCACAATAAACAAAACCATCATGCCTGCCAGCGGAAGAACACTCACCCCAGACGTAGGAGAGCGGTCCTAGCCTCAGCAGAGACCGCCTGTCGGACCTCTCTACAGCAGATCTGGGCTGGCACCTCAGGTTCTCACACCACATTGTGAAAAACCACACTGACGTCCAACTTGGTGCATCTGTCTGGTTCAATTATACATGTGCTACTAACTGAACTCCCAGTTCCCTGGGAGGAGCTCATGGAGGAAGCCAATGAACAGAAGCCAATGCAGAGGACAGGATATAACTACCCACTCTGTGACATTACAGAGCTGATGTGATCAGAATCAGTCGTTTAGAGACACATTTCCAGATATTGGCAGATCATAAAATATCGACTTAGTTATTGGAGAACGTCCCCTCAATTATAACTTCCCATTACTTAGTTATTGGAGCTAACGCTTAAGGGTTAGACAGTCCCTCTAAAACCCAGACCAAGTCAACTTTGCATAGAGTGAACGTCCCCTCAATTATAACTTCCCATGGTCCAGCTCTTGAGCTGGTTGGTAGTTATAAGCACCTGGAAATAACTAATGATTGGGAGCCAAAAATAGTTACATTAAGGGCAACTGGACAAACTTTATTTTTTTATTTTTTTTTTTTTTGAAGACATTTCACATCTCACCCAAGAAGCTTCTTCAGTTCTGACTAACTACTGGGAAAATCTGGTATTTAGCCTCCAAGGGGCTGCATACCCGTAATGAGGGCCGTTGCAAAAAGGGGGGGTGGAGTTGTGGTAGTCAGTCAGAACTGAAGAAGCCTCTTGGATGAGACGTGAAACGTCTTCCAAAAAAAAAAAAAAAGAAACTACCTCGTCCAGTTGCCCTCAATGTAACTATTTTTGGATTAAGTGACCAGGAAGACCGAGAACCAACACAGACCTGTTGCTAATGATTGGGAGCTTTCTTTCAAAACTCATATAAAAAATAATTTCAAAATGAATTGTAAATCTCAGTTTCTATTACATGAAAAAAAAAGTTTTTCTCTCAGAGCTTGAAAGCTCCGGATTTCAGCTACCTCCGTGCTTGTTCTGGTCTACGGCGATGTTGTCTATATGAGAGCTTTGTCCAATCCAGTTTTTGACCCTGGTCTACCATCATGCCTAGAGATTTATCACTGGTTACAGCTGCCTTAGTCACCACTGTGATCTATATACCAAAGCTGTCATGCTGTCTTTAAATGTCAGACGTTTACCACACTGGATGACTCTGGTTAACAAGACCCTCCATGACTTGGTCCCTCCATATTTAAGCACTGAAAAACTAAAAACTGTTATGCCTCATGCTCCGATGACATTCTGCACCTCGTGGTTCCTCCTGTGAAGTCTGAGATGGGAAAGAAAGCTTTTAGTTCTTTTGCCGCCTCTGCCTGTAATGACCTCCAGTCCGAACTGAATCTGTCTAGACTTGTCTCTTTAGATACAAACGCCCTGTCCTAAAACAGCGTCATTGGAAATCATTAGAACGGTGGAAATTGTAAACTGTTTTTTATTTTCTTATATATTTTTATTTCTTCTTGGTCAGGTCACCCTTGTGAAAAAGCTCTTGAACTCAATGGGTCTTAAGATGGCTAAATAAAGGTTAAATACATTCAAAATATATATAGTATTGCTAGTTTCCTTAAGGCAAAAGTCTGACTGAATAACTCACTACCATGGACCTATGCATATTTTAAGATTCCTCATAGTTAGCCTGCTCCTTACAGTGAAAGCAGTCAGTAATGATAATTAATAAAGAGTGGTCAGCTGTGCTCCACTACACTGAGTCTAACCACAAAGCTAGAGCTGCAGTCCAGTGTCTGTTAGACCACGTGTCTCATACAGTATATGGAATCCACTAATGGCTCTCACATTGAGCCTTTATAAATGAATCACCACATTAGGGCTGTATTTGCTTAGCCGTTGTTTCATAGTGTTGCTTAAAATATATGAAAATATTAATGAAAATGTTATTGCTGCTATTCATCATCACCAGTTTCAGTCATCATGACATTGCGTTATCTTTAATTTTACTATTATTAATGTACAGGGCCATGCAGTCATCTATGAATAAAACAGTCAAATAAATACAAATCCATGTTTTATATACTGTATATTTCAGATCACAACAGATTCAGTGAATGAAGCTTGAAGTTGTCTGCTGACTTTGTACAAATTGTCATTATAGTTGTTATTATGTATTTGTCTCCTGTCTTTTCATATTCTGCTGTGGTATCTAGTTGATCACTAGAAAGAAATGCCATTTCCCTAAGGAAATATTTGAGGCTCTTTTATAGATATAGCCAAACTTTCTTAGAGATTATTTATTACATCCTCCCTACCATCTTACTAAACATTTAAGGAAAAAAACAAAAACACAACAATAACAGAGTGAAGAGACAATAGCTGGTGATAAATCTTCTTTTGGCTTTTCCTCTAAGGGGTCATCACAGTGGATACTCTGCCTCTTTATTCCTAGCCTCCTGTAATGTTACACCAACCACATTCGTGTCCCTTTCACTACATCCCCACGTCTCCTGTCGTGTCTTCCTTCTTCTCCTCATGACTGGCCGATTCATTGACAGCCCTGTGTCCAACATTTGAAACATATTTCTTCTGTGTACAGTTAGATCTTCCTAAATCTCTTCATCAATCTGATACATTTTTACAGTTTTTTTTTCAAACAGTACATGACAGCATCTCTTACTCTGATCTTAGTCTTTTCCTCCTGTTGTCCAGGAAATATTTTTGCTCATATTAACCATGAATTTCTATTGTCTCTATACAATATAAATTCACGTGTAGAATATGCCGACAGCAACGTTTTAAACGGTATATAACACAAAATAACTGACAAATTCAGTACATTTGACTGAACAACGTACCTCGGCAAATCTGACTAGACCACAGCCATTGTTGCCAAGCAACAGGGGTCAGAAGTACTTGTAATTGTACAGTATGTACCAGTAAAATGTAATACAACGATTTTTGACAGAAACAAAGATACTGTGTGATTAAAATAGTTTGTGACCTTTTTGACCTTCATTTGTGTGTAACAGGGCAGACACCATTAAACCTGGGCCATTAAAGCTAAAGTCATGTGACACATCTCTCATTTATTACTATGTGGCCTAACATTAGCTGTGACTTCAATACGCTTAACATAGAAGCCTATTCACCATCCCAGAGTTGAATTAGATTAGGTTAATTAACAAGGTCATTAAAGAATTATAACACATTCACTTCTGCTTCTGCATTTCATTCCCTTAGCAAGCGGCAGATAATGCAAAGTTGACTGTCTGAACGTGTGTTGAATAGCGTTTTTCCTGACACCTTTCATATAAATAGAACTTATTTGCCCAACACAACTATCCTTGCCGAGCTGGAATGTCCCATGAGGGAGATAAAACTCCCCTAAATCCTTTCTGAAGGTTGAATAGTCAGTATGTTTCATCAGTGAACTGGCCTAATGTTCAAATACGTTTAGAAAAGTGACTACTGTCTCCAGTACAGACATTCTCTATTTGAAGACATTTAAAGCACCAGTAATAACTGTAGTCTAATATAATACAGTCTGATGGATCTAAACTGGGATGGTTTCTATGGCTGCAAGGAGCTCAAGGATGTGTTCACTCGTGTATGGATTGCAGTGGACTGTGCGTCACATAGCCACATATAGAGACAAACAACCACAATGTTGTATTCATGTAGTTGGGTATATCATTTTATTACATGTGAATCAAGGTGATCTTATCCTCTAAAGCAGGGATGCCATAATAAGTAGATCGGGATCGTCGATGGTATGTCATTCAATTTTGTCTTTTATTTTTAAGCTTTAAAGGTAGTAACATTTCCTGTTCTTGCCCTATTTCATTGACAAAAATCAATCACTTAATGAGAACAAAAAACAAACAAAACATAGTATATAAATATATGTATACTGCAAATTCAATATTAACCTTAGTCATAATGCAATGCTTTCAGCATGATAACCATTTTTGAAATAGCACTCAGCATTCCCATTGTGCATTGTGAAATTTTCAGTTGGGCTGTGTCCAGCAAAGTGCTGCAGGAAGGCTACAATGGTCTCCTGACAAAAAGCATTCAACATTTTACAACTTTTTAAGGTTTTATGAACCTCTTTATTTTTCTGTACAGTGAAATTTTGCTGATTTTTGCAGTTTTCAATTTATTTTACTGATACGGACTTAATTCAATAGACTTCAGAAGGTTGGGTCTTTTATTTTTTACTCTCACAGTGTTTATAAAGACTGGCCATCAAACCTCAGTGATATGAATTCTTACAGCCAACATGTCTGGACAATGTACTTCAGATTGCCATATGACTTTATTAGGATTAGGATTAACTAATTGTCCTCACATGTGTCAGATGCTGCACCCGCAACACCACTCTAACGCTTTCTCAGCTGCAGCTGAGCGCAGCCACGCCTCCACACTTCTTCCTTACTTCTAACATTGCTAGGACATGAGAGACATGCCTCAACCCACTGGGTTGAGGCAATGATACAGCAAGAAATTGTGGGTTTGGAAAAATGGCAGATGTGCAATCTCATTTGTGGCATCCAAAACTCTGAGAGCTCCAGGTGGTGTCAAGTTCAAGGTAAGAGAAGCTATGAGCTGAAATGACTGTCACTGCCTGTGGTGAACAACCAAAGTCATTGTATAAAAATAACAATATAGTTTTAGATTATCTTTTACCAGATTATTTGAAGCAGAAGAGTCAGACTTGCTTTTCTTTTTCCCTTTTTTTTTTGTTTTGTTTAGCATTTGTTAGACTGCATGCATAAGAGAGTACGTAAACAATGGTCCAGCTATATGTTATACCATCAGTGTGTTAGGGGTGCCTTCTGCAGCACTTTGGTTGTTGCCTTGACTGTGTTTCTACAGCTTTTCCTTGCAAGTCTGTCAAACAGACCTTAAGGGTCTGTTTAAAAATTAATGAGCAGAGCATACACTGTAAATAACTGCTGGTAATGCACCAAGGGTTGTTTGAAATGTAAAACCCGCTGTCATGCCTTGATTATCTATATATCTGCCGTGAGTGTAGAAGCACTGTTCCACTGCAGCCAGTTCTGATTTAGTAAGTTAGGTTCTTGTTAACACTTAACACTGGTTGTTAACACTGGTTTTCTCTTGTGCTGAGAAGCAGTGTGAATGGTTTTCTCTTGTGCTGAGAAGCAGTGCTATTATTGCAGAAACATTCTGAGAATACCCAGTGTATGTATATACAGTATATACGCACTAGCCAACCAAAGACAGATGGATATTACTGTAAATTCCTGACTCATGAAATGGACAAAAAAAAAAAAGTAATTCAGGAGTGCATTTTCAACAAAGCTGACTTCTTCAAATCTATAGTAAACATTTCAGCCATGTCTGCATCTGTTCATCTTGTTTGTTTTCATTTATTATACAAGTACATCTTTATGCATACGACATACAGTAGAGAAGCATGAGCCTAACCAGACTGATTCACATCTTTCCAACCAATCAGTGTGTCAGCTGTCTGTTGTAATTTAAGACACAGCTTTAGTTCGATTAAATGTGGTAATTAGGCTGAATTGTTCTTGTGCAATTTGGAGTCCTGCTATATGATTCTCATGGTTTCTCTCAGACTGTATTGAACTGGAAGTCTATTTTCTGCTCGATATCAATTTTTCATGGATAGCCATTTGTCCTTAGGGGACAAGTGTCATCCTGACATAGGATACAGTTTTCACCTGTCCCAGTGGCATTCTGCTTACATTTTTAGAGACTGTACAACGTGCGGAAAGTTCTCGCATGGTCCTGTTCTTCCTTAAATATTTGTTCCACTTACACTATTCGACATAGCTTTGAACAAGTGGGAGCTCTTGTGCTCTGTTTGGCTCAGAGCACACACACTCTGCATAGTAATCATCTCTGCCTTTTTTTTCAATTGTTTTCTAATAGCACTCTATCCATTTGACCCATTCCACCCACGGCCACAATACAACCCATTACAGAACAACATGAATGAGTTTGGGTGGTATCTGATTATCAACCTACTTGATGAGTCTTATTCCGTGTTTAAAAGGCGAGAAAGGATCCAGATGGTCATGCCTTTCGAATTCTCAAAGTTCATTTCCAGCAAGAGAAATAGAGAGGGTAGGCTCCAACTCTGCAAACCAGTGGTTGGGATTAACAGCAGTCAGATGACTGCTGTTAATGGGGCTCAGTGATCCCTCCCCTGTCATGTTAGAGCATCTGACTCACCGTATACCTTCTTTTAATCCCTATAATTTGTGGTCAGACAGAAATAATTACAGCATTTTGGCTACCTTATAGGTAACATGCATTTTTCTGTTCTATCAATTCTAAATAAACTGTGAGATGTTTAAACTGCAGGTCACCCAATTAGCACTTTAAATATTAATCTAACAATTATATTTTTTTATTGATAATTGTTGCGTCTGTTGCCACTCAATACTGACCTTCAAGCTTTACCCTAAGGGGGGTCGGTTTCTTGATTAATAAGTAACTTTCTTGGTACAGTACTGTCAGCAATTTACATTGATGGTGTCCTTTTTTACATATTTTCCTGTGAACACAAACACTTAATAACTGGGTACTGTAAAGTAATATATGTTGTTATTTAATATTTAGTGTTTGTCACTGTAAGACCAATTGTATCGTATTTGCTACACAAGAGAGAAAAAACAATATTTGTTGTCAGGCTTTAAATGGGTATGTGGTGAATCACAGTGAGTGTGAGGTCTGTCTGTCTTTCTTCTCCGCTGCCTGTTGTGTTATCAGTGGGATCACACGCTCCTGTGTCTTGTTCATCAGTCTCACGTGTGTCACCTGGTGCGCTGGGTATATATACCTCTCAGCCTCAGTCCTGGTCAGTTTGCTGTTCAGTGTTCATGGACTGGAGTGTGTGCTTTATGTCCATGTTTCATGTCCATGAGCACACACTGTACGTAGGGCCCCACGTTTTTGAAGGCAGCCAAATGTGATTAGTGATATTGCTGTGCAAATTGCACACACATTGAACACCATTCAGTGCAAAGCAAAGGTAATGATAGCTGTAATCGGACACTACAGACACTGACACATACTGTAGTTATTGAAAAGGTAATCAGGGAAATATCATTTGTTGTTTTTATATACCTTTTTTAAATTGATGACTGATAGTGCCTTGGCTATTTATTTAGACTATATTCTTTTCCTCTAAAATGTATTTAAAAAATGTATTTCATTTATTTTTGGATTACTGCAGTTGTTGGGGTTGTATTAATATTGAATCTGTTTCTGCATTTCAGTGACATTAAACATGTTAAATGGTATTTGGTGAAAATCCACAAGGGGTAGGTGTTGGGAGGGACTTGAAAATCCTGCTTAGGCAGCCCTAAATTGTGAAACATGAAGCATTTTAAGGGTCTTTCTTATATATCCAGAATTATATTTAAGTCTGGAATATGAAACACCTTCATATGGAAACAATGTCTGTGTTAATTGGAATTTTACATGGGACACCCAACATTTGATCTCATTCAGCTTTTGTGCTTAATGGAGACACAGGAGAGGAGAGAGCTGTCTGAGTAGGTACTGATATGCTGTGGGGAGCTCTCAAAGGAAATCTTTCTCTCCCTGTGCACCTTTTCTTCTGGCTTGTGATGCCACACTGATACTCTGGGGGCGGCTGGTGAGACAAAATAACAGAGATGCTGTCACCAGATCAGCTTTTTGTGGGGTGAGATGATGCTCTATTGTCTACTTTTGAATCTGGAACACCACATACTGTATCCAAACAAAGACAAGGTTAAGGTCTGCATGGTGTCTTATTTGACACTAACAAGTATAGTTTTGGTACGTATAAGTAAAAGTGTGTGTATACAGAGTATTTCTATGATGATGTTCATAGATGTTGGAAACAAGGTGAAATGAATTTCAAATGTATTAACAATATTAATGAAGTAGGGTGACAATTGGGAAAAAATAAGAAAAAAGAATCCAAACATTTATTTATTTTTTACAACCATTTGTCCTGAACAATACAACACAATGGACACAAGGACAATGCCGTAATCGGCAGCTTAAACTTTATACTTTGTACTGTATGTTTTCTTTTCTCTTCACAGTGAAAAAAATGTAATTGTTTTCTCTATTTAACCTTTTTTTAACCTGTGTAATAACATAAAAAAGACTGCTGTCTACTTTAGTTGTAGCATTTACAGATTGTGACAAACCCTCGGCATAAAAGGCATCACCCTAGTGATTGAATCCATCTAATTTTAGTGTGCTCTTCAACACTTTCACAGGTTGTTCATCATCAGGATGTTCATAATGCAACACTTGCTGTCCCAGTGGATTAGGCCCAAATTATATGAAATGAATACTTTAATTATGTAGAAGCTTCTACTAACCCATATGTGCCCTTGGTGTAGTTTGACTTCCTGGACCATGAACACATTCTCTATAGACCCTGAAACTGGAATCTAGCCTTGTCCCTTTCCATTGCATTATGATGCATTATGGGTGGAATTTCACTTTCAAGAGAATCGACTATATTGACAATGAAGTGCATTTGTGGATGGCGTACCTTCCTGGCAGATTATTAACACATTATTAACTGTACTGATAATGACCTTGATCCTGATTTTCTGTGACAATGTTCATAGAATGAGGCAGGAACCTTTATGTCCTTCATCTATTGTCTGGATAGCAACAAAAGATTTTCATTTTAATTGTTATAATCTTGCCAGCAACAAAGTAATTTTCATGTTTGGTAAATCAAGGAACACATTGAACTCGCTTTTTCATGGGGTGTGAGAGTAAAGGTCTTGATAGTATCAGGCGATTTTCAGCTTTGAATGGAAGACTTACAATAATAATTACAATAATGACTAAACAATAACGTCTAATTACTTAAGTCAGCAGCAAACAACAGCTCTTGTAGCAATCACATTTATTCATCTGTGAGTTTTCTCTAACATCTATAATCTTAAAGTTTTAAAATTCAGATTTAGCATTTTTTACATTAATGATGCTGGTGAAGGCCATTTTTAAATATAAATATAAATATAGATTGCACTTCCTAAACTACTGATTTAGTTTAGGAATAAAGACAGAGAAAGTGAGATAAAAACATCTGCCTCCATGAATGTAGTTACATTTAGTAAATGAAGGACATCATCTGATTGCAGAAGTGGGGAAAATGCTGGATCAAAGAATTCTTCACATTGCTGTTGCCTTGTAGCTGTGAAATGCTTTTGTACAGAGCTTTGCGGTATCCTAACGTGGAGTTTCACATTACATACCTTAAAGTAATATTTTGTTCAGCATTTATAACGATAGACCATCACAATTTTACTTTTGGAACAGCAATTGCAGCACCAGTAGAAAAAGTGCAGACATTAGAATTAGCATTACATATCTTTTCATCTATTGTCTCGCTCACAAGTCTCTTTAATGCTGTACATTTTAGAATATAGTCTTTCAGAAGGGAAAAATAGGTTTGTTGGCAAACCGAATAAAGTAACAGTAGTTATTTTTGTTCTTATAAGTCAATTAATTTAGCAGTACTAACACCTGATATCAGCCCTTTAAAACCACTGAAACTGAATCACTAGACTCTCT